AAAAAAAAAAAAAAAAAAAAGAATGAAGACTTTCCCCCTGCAAGCCTCAAAAGCAAGTCCTCTTGATAAGTTCACTGTGCTAGACACTGTCTATTGGCTCACTACTCAGTCTCACCCTAAATACTCCCCAGACATCCTGGAGGCAGATTATGGATGCGACTGAGATTCTGCTAATGAAATTCTCTCACGAGAGATCTGGAAGGCAGAGGCCATCTTTGTGCAGCCTGACAATTAATCCATGTGGTTTGAGTGTGGGGGCAGCCTCCACGGTCCACTGTCCAGTCAAAACCCCAGGAGTCTGAGGCAGTTTGACAGCAGCAGAGGTGGCAGCAGAATCAGTTTGCTGAACTTCGGCTGCAGCTAAGGAGGGATGAGCTTGAATCACACACCAACTTCCACTACAGCTCTTTCACCGCTTCTGCCTTATCCTACTCTGAACCATAAATGACACGGCCAGTAACCGGGAGGTCCAGAACTCTAAAACCAGAGATCAGACAGAAAGGCTTTTCACAACATCCCTTTATTTTACGTTCAAGATAATATCAAGAAATAATTAGATGCTACTCTGGTTTCTGAATCCTTAACTGGAATTGTTTCAAAGGTACAAGCACCGAGATTTGTACTCTCCTAGTGCCGTCAGGCCTGTCCATGACCAAGCAGCACCTGATGCTTCTCCTCCTCAAACTACCTGCCTCTCTTTTTTATACCTGGAAGACTAAGGACAGTAACATCCTCCTACAACTCTGCCTATCTCATTTGGGGCACGGTCAGGCCGGGCAGGCCTCTTCTATTTTCTAAGAGATACTGCATGGCAGCAAGTGTGCAGACACCTCACAGCGTCACACAGACTCATGGCTGAGGAATACCCGTCTCTGCTGCTGTGCTCTGTACCCCTGTAATGACCCCCACAGGAATGACATGGCCTTATCCATTCTGACCCAGGAATGGTTTTACGAATCAGCATGAGAGTATGGAAACATGGCAAAAACAAGAACGCTCCCACCCATTTCCGCAGAACTGACAACGCTGGTTTCACTGTAGATACCTTAGCACCTTAACAGTCTCTGTCCAGTCCTTCTGAAGACTTTCCCACGTATCAACTTCCAGCCACTTTGAATTCCTGGTGGCAAGTTCTGCCATGATAACCCGGTGATGAGCAGGGATGAGCTCTTTCTTATTATAGGCATCACCAACAGGAGAAATTATGCCTTTGATCACTCTATATTTTCCTGGATAAAGAGTTAGATTTGATACCAGATTAAATGTACAGGAAATACTATGATCAATATTGTTTTATAATCACAGATTCTTTTCTTTAAAGAGGAATTTTAGGTTTATCAATCAATTGACCTGTTGATTTAAATTGTAGTAAAATGTACATGACATAGAACTTACTATTTTAACCATTTAAGCATCTGGTTACTGTTCCTACCTGTTCCATTCATGTAGTCCTTGGCCAGCTCAAACAACCTGAGGTGCATATTGGTGATAGGATTAAAGGAACCACAAGCAAGGAGAACCACTTCTGTCTTCTCTGAGTTTTCCATGGTAAGAATTTGAAGCTGTTGATCTAAATGGAAAACTGTGCCACCTCCCTTGATGTCTACAAAGGAAAAAAAATAAGACCAGTTATAGATCTTTTGAGGTCCTTCCTTGCACGTTCTCCTTCCAAACAAACTGATGGATGAAAATATATGGCTTCGATAATTATGCTGGGAACTGCAAAAGGGCTCCCTTTTTTCCACCGTTCCTTTCAGTGTGAATTTGCAGCTCCTACCGTAAGGGGATGGAAATTACATACACACTTCCTCACTTTTTGTGACCTGCTTCAGCCAAAAAAACGGGACAGAAGTGCCAGAGTGCCAATTCTGAGTCTAGGCCCTAGAGCAGTGATTTTCAATCTTTTTGGTCTCACAGCATACTATAGTTAAACCTCCACGGCACATTTAAATTATGTTGATCAAAGAAAAGAGTAAAAAGAAGAAAGCACTGTGCTTTGAACTTTTTTTTTTTTTTTCTGAGAAAGAGTCTCACTTTGTCACCCTCAGTAGAGTGCTATGGCATCATAGCTCACAGCAATCTCAAACTCTTGGGCTTTAGTGAGTCTCTTGCCTCAGCCTCCCAAGTAGCTGGGACTACAGACACTCGCCGCAACGCCCAGCTATTTTTGTGTTGTAGTTGTCATTGTTGTTTCAGCTGGCCCAGGCTGGGTTTGAACCCACCAGCCTCAGTGTATGTGGCTGGTGCCCTAGCCACTGAGCTACAGGTACCACCTGTGCTTTGAACTTCTTTCAAAAATATTTTAATCTATGATCTTTAAAACTTCATGGCACACCTAAGATTCTCTCACGCCACACCAGTGTGCCACAGCAAACTGGCTGCACATCACTGCTGGAGAAGCTTACTCTTCCTCTGTCTCTGGGCTGCTACTTCTGCCATGAGGCTAACTTGCTGGAGAATGACAGAAAGTGGCTTGGTGCCTGTAGCTTAAGTGGCTAAGGCACCAGCCACATACACCTAAGGTGGCGGGTTTGAATCCAGCCAAACAATGATGGCTGCAACCAAAAAAAATAGCCGGTAGCTGTGCCGGGCACCTGTGTTCCCAGCTACTTGGGAGGCTGAGGCAGAAGACTCGCTTGAACCCAGGAGTTGGAGGTTGTTTTTGAGCTGTGATGCTACAGCACTCTACCCAGGGGGACAGCTTGAGGCTCTGTCTCAAAAAAAAAAAAAAAAAAAATGACAAAGTGCAGAAGAGAGCTGATGCTGGGGCAGGTCAACATCCCACCATTCCAAATATGACCGCAGCCATCCAGACCAGCCAAACCACAGCCTACCTGCTCAGACAGACTTGTCTTTGATGCCAATCAGCCACGTCTGGCCAAGATCAGCAGACCAACAAACAGTCCCTAGTCTCATGAGCAAAAATTAATGCTCACTGTTACGTGCCACTCATGCCTCCTGTTTTGTGACTGCGCTATCATGGCCACAGTTAACTGATACAATGACGTTATTATCTACCAAAACATGGCTCAGTAAAACTGGTCCTTCAAATAGTACTTTTGCCTTTTAGCCAACATGATTATAATAACAGTAACAGTTTATAATGTACAAACCTCTTTTGCTTATCAGTTATTCCATTTGATCCTTCCATAACCCTAATGAAGTAGTTCAAGACATCTGATTCTTAAATTTTATTAAAAATTTTTATGCTGGGAGCAGTGGCTCACGTCTGTAATCCTAGCACTCTAGGAGGTCAAGGCAGGAGGATCATTTGAGCTCAGGAATTTGAGACCACCCTGAGCAAGCATGAGACCCTATCTCTACAAAAAAAGTAGGAAAAAAAAATTAGCCAGGAATGGTGGTACACACCTGTACTCCCAGGTACTTGGGAGACTAAGGCAGGAGGATCGCTTAAATTCAGGAGTTAGAGGTTTCAGTGAGCTACAATGACACCACTGCCCTCTCTCAGGCTGATAGAGTAAGACTGTCTCAAAACACCTTACTGAACTAATTCACGTATGTAGGTTTTAAAACCCTAGGGCAAAAAACAAAGGCCTTTAATAAAAACCAGTGGCCATCAACCATATCCCACTCACCATCCCCTCCATCTAGTTCCCTAAAGGCAACCACTTTTGACTTTTGCAGATTTTTTTTTTTTTTAAATATTGAGACAGAGTCTCACTTTGTCACCCTCGGTAGAGTGCCGTGGCATTATAGCTCATAGCAACCTCAAACTCTTGGGCTTAAGTGATTCTCTTGCCTCAGCCTCCCAAGTATCTGAGGATACAGGTGCCCACCACAAAGCCTGGCTATTTTTATGTTGTAGTTGTCATTGTTGTTTTTAGCAGGCCTGGGCTGGGTTTGAACCTGCCAGCCCTGGTGCATGTGGCTGGCTCCCTAACCACTGAGCTATGGGTGTTAGGCCTTTTTCAGCCTTTTCTGGTAGATTCTACCATAACTCTACATTATGTGCTTATAATGCTATTTCTTCATTTACCCAATTTAAACAATTTATCAGAATTAAATCACTTCGTCTTTCTTTTGCAATCTCTGAGGACTAGCTCACACACCTCCTTAGTACCCTCTCCCAAACTTCCTAATACGTATAGTTTATCTTTAGTGTATGCTGAAAATCATCTCTGGCTCGGTGCCCGTAGCACAGTGGTTACAGCACCAGCCACATACACTGAAGTTGGCGGGTTCGAACCTGGCCTTCACCAGCTAAACAATGACAACGTCAACAACAAAAAAATAGCTGGGCGTTGTGGCAGGTGCCTGTAGTCCCAGCTACTTGGGAGGCTGAGGCAAGAGAATCACTTGAGCCCAAGAGTTTGAGGTTGCTGTGAGCTGACGCTATAACACTCTACTGAGGGTGATAAAGTGAGAATCTGTCTCAAAAAAAAAAAGAAAGAAAATCATCTTCTCTCAAATTTTGAAGCTACTGCTTCTTCTAGATTCTAGTGTTAACAGTGAGAAATCCAAAGTTACTTCCAATTCTGGAGCCTCTGAATGTCACTTTTTTTCCTGTCTTGAAGCTCCTAAGGCTGCGGTTCTCAACCCCTTTGTAACACTGAAAATACATCGTGGCATTAGGAAGGTTGAAAACCCGTCCTAAGGCCTTCTCTTTGTTCCCACAGTGCTGAGACTATGCATATGTCCTCTAGTGCTCTGTTTCCATCTACAGCCACTAAGCAAGCCCTTTATTTTATTTTTTTTCATCTATAAAAACATCAATTTCATATGACTCAACCTGCTACTATTAGTCATTGAGTCTGTTTTTTTCCTGGAGGCTTTTCCTGCTGGAATTCTCCTCTCTCCTCTCTAATCTAGACTAAAAATCTGAAATCTGTGAGGCCCTCATTCTGAGATCTTCTCCCTCTCTCCCCTGAGTAGGATCCCCTAGCTCATTCCTGCTGTGCTTCCTAATTTTTTCAGAGCATATCCTCAAGCAGCTTCATAATAAATGATGATCTATAGCTACTCAGCTTTTCAGTTAATCTTTTACCATTGGACATTTGGGTTTTTCTACTTTTTCACTATTACAAACATCTCTAAAAAGAAATAATGGATTAAAAATGAGTTGCAAATTAAGGTTATATAACACATCACTGGGTACTTCTAAGATTTGCCAAAACTCAGGACACCTGTGTCAAGGACTCAGTGCTCAGACCAACTGCTGGGCTAACCAACATGCTTTTGCTCAGCCCTTAGGCTCTCAGAGAACAAAGCCAGTAAGTGGCAGAGTAGGGATGGAATTTAGGTTTCGTAACTCAGGCTCTGCCACAGGGAAAAAAATGGAGATGAACTTGATCTGTGGAAAGAGGTGAGGAATATAAGGTTAAATCCCTGAAATAATGGGAACCTTTGAAGGTTTCTGAGCAATGGAATGACCATGGGGTTCTAAAAAAGGTTCTAGAAAAGTAATGTGGCAAAGGTGTTAAAACATTTTATTTGGTTTTGTCAGCTTGACTTAATCACTTGACCCTGTGTCTTTAGTTTTCTTATCTGTAAAATGGGGATAATGGCAGGATCAATCTCAGTCTTTGGTTGTTTTTTTTTTTTTTTTTTTTTTGAGACAGTCTCACTATGTTGCCCTCCATAGAGTGCCATTGCATCACAGCTCACAGCAACCTCAAACTCTTGGGCTTAAGCCATTCTCTTGCCTCAGCCCCCCAAGTAGCTGGGACTATAGCTGCCAGCCATAATGCCTGGCTATTTTTTGGTTGCAGTTGTCATTGTTGTTTAGCTGGCCCAGGCTGGGTTTGAACCCGCCAGCCTTGGTGCATGTGGCTGGTGCCATAGCCCCTGTGCTACGGGCGCCAAGCCTCTTTGGTGCTTTTTTTTGTGTGTGTGTGGTTTTCATTTGTTTTGGGGGCAGGGTCTCATTTTGTCTTCCAGCCTAGGGTGCACTGGCATTATCATAGTTCACTATAACCTCAAACTCCTGGGCTCAACTGATCCTCCTGCCTCAGCCTCCTGTGTAGCTGGGACCACAGGTGTGCATCACCATGCCTGGCTAATTCAGCATTCTATTTTTTGTAGAGAGGAAATCTTGCTATGTTGCTCATGCTGGTCTCAAACTCCTTGCCTCAAGCGATCCTTCTGCCCTGGCCTTCCAGAGTTCTGGGATTACAGGTGTGAGCCACTACACCCAGCAGCTTTGGTGTTACAGGGTGGTATGACCACAACATTATCACAGTACTCTGGGCCCTATGGCGAAATCAGGGCATCTGCCACCCACTGAACACGCACTGGTGGAGGGGCTGGGTGCAGCTGGTGCTCAGTGTCAGTCCCAGCTGCACCATCTCAGGTTTCAGGTGATACTCCCCAGACAGTGAGAAGGAAGAAGGGGCAGGTTGAGATCAAGTGGTGTGGGTCCTCCAGGGAGCTGCTATGGTCCTGGAACAGAGTTCAGAGAAGGATGGAATAAAGAGCTTGAACTCTGTCCTTGGGGATGAGGTCAAGTTTCCAGGTGTCCCGAAGGCACAGAAGGGGCTGAGGCAAGCTGATCTCTCAGCATAAAGGAAGCTCTTTCTTCTCTGTCACATTTATAACCTGTCTCATATATCCAGTGGTTCCACTAATTCACTGTGAACACAACCA